TAGAGCAAAAGGGAGAAAAGAGACTGAGAGAAAAGTATGCTCCTGAAGGAGCTTCTGACCAATACGAGGAAAAAAAACAATGGGAAGGATTATTTCACACACCAGTACTGATAAGAAACAGGGTGTAGGAAGACATGGAAAATCAATCCTGTAGTAAGAAATAGTACAGTAAATGCCAAACAAAAGTAAAACATTTATGCTATAATGAGAAAGACATGCACAAAATAATTATTTTATGCTGAGAATATGGATAATACACTTAGACAATTATAGAAACAGATTCCAACCAATTATTTTTAATGATAAATGTTGTAGGCTGTTGTCTGAGAAAGTAATGAGAAAGAGAGTGAAGTCAACATCTATCAAGTTTAATTGATAATTTGCAATTACTTAAAGGATAAGCCATGTGAAATCATTTGAAACAGCAGCAATGTGTGTTAAAGAGTTGTGATTGTATCCTGCTGGAGTAAACTAGCTTAAAATATGAAACTTTAATGAAAATGCCTTAGTAAAGAGAGCCACTCTGTTTGTATGCATTTTATGGAAGACAAGTCAATAATAGAATAGAGCATATGCAATTGGGAGCAAGGAAGCATTCAGCAATGTAACTTTCATGTTTTCTCTTTTGTTTCAATAAGTAACACCAGAAGGCAGGTGCAAGTCTCCCTTCTATGCATAATGAAAACTATTTTCCTTACCCATCAGTAATTGAATAAGACAATAATTGAAGTAAAGTAGCTAGCTCTAATTCCTTATCTTTAAAGCAGAGCTCTGATATTCAGTAACACAATTTACACAGGCACCTCCCTATAGCTTCAATGAGGATAAGCAATGAAATATATAAGCCATTTAAGCAAAACCATGAAGAGCACCTAGATATTGTATTAACAGTGTATAACATTGAATATTGTGACATCCTGTCTTCCCACACACTTTCTGATCCATATCAGCAGCATAGACAGATGGCCAGCACAGTTCTTCTGACACTCAGTCCACAGACTGACATTGTCAACAGAGACAAGATGCTCCCCATACTGCTCGAGTAAGGTACAGACGAGTCTTTAATCACACTGCTTTTGGTAGACCCAAGAAGTTGTGCAACTCCTACCTGTATTCAAGCAATTTTTGCATGATTGATTGTTGGTGTCAAATGACCGCAGACATAAAGTGTCCCTGTCAGTCCACCAGAGCTATGGCATCAGTTACTATCCCCTGTTTCCTGTCATTGATCGCTGTAGGGGTGTATTGTTGCTCATCTTTCTTACTGACTCAATAAATGTTTGGTTTTTAACACATTGTCAGATTCTATTACTGTTCAGACCACACATGAAGTGCTAGATCTTTCTTGATGAACAACGTTTTAGAAAAAAACCTAAGCTTCGTGATCTGGTGCTCTTGGCTGGATTTCATTATCACTTTATGCATCAGATTGCTACATTTAAAATTACCATGCTGATCTGAAAAAAGTTTTTTATAATAATCTGAAAGATACTTTACTAGAGAAGATAGCTAGGCCAATTTTCTTATGTCTTCTCCATCTCCATCCATGTTTTTTTCTGAATGGCCTCCTTTTTCCTCTCAACATGAGTATTCCAGTCGGGGTCTTCCTTTTACAGAAGGCATCAAATATGAATAATGTTAATTTCTTTGCTTTTTCGTAATGCTGAGAATAGTAACCAAAAGGACAAAGGAACTGCAAACTGATTCTAGATAAGCAGCCAGATTTAGAAGAGTAATTTGGCTAATGACGAGCTATGGTGTTGCTACTGCAGTTTTTTGGCTGCACCAAAAAGGAAATGGATATGATTTCATGCATCTCAGCTACCATTTCTCTTTAAAATAGTACAGCGAATGTTAAAATTGAAAGAAAAAAGTTTGATTTTTTTAAAAAAGCTCATATTATTCTCATCATGCTATTATTTATACCATTGTTTATTTCCTGTTTATCAGCCGAACACTCCAATGGGAGTCAAATAGAAGTAATATGCTTAGGAATCATATATTTGACTCAAGCAGTGTTTCAAATATCTTCAATTTCAATATTTAAAAAGTAAGCCATTTTAATAGCATTTTCTTCCACTATAGCAAGCTTTCTTCACTGAAAGTGGGTCTCCTTCTGATTTTATTCCAGAAACATTCTGATGGAGCAAATTCTCGACCATTTAATAGAACACTGTAATTTTACTGGTGACCACAATTGTGTATATTATGGACATTAGAACACTGCAGGTAAATCAGACTTAAATTTAAAATGAAAAGCTAAAAATTGCAGTCATCTGATAAAATTAAAATTTGGAACTTCATTTCAGAGTTATCTGCAGTCATATCATATCTTTCCCACCACCGATGATGACATAATCCCTAGCCCTAGCAGGAAAAACATTTAAGTATATACTTAATTGTTAGCATATAATCAAATACTTTTGACATCAAAAGGATTTGTGTCTGCTTAAAGTGCTTGTCTGAACTACACTCCAGTAAAACAACACTAGAAAAAATCTAAAATATGTTTGTACTAACACAGCCTTAGTATAGAAGCAAACATCTGTCAACCAAAGATTTGATTATTTGCTGGTTCATGTAATTTGTAACTCTGTCACTGGTCAGTAATGTTACTCAGAATCAAAAAGTGATCCATGGGACATGGCAGCTCAGTGAAATGTCCTTTTCCCATGTCTTCTTAATTCATTTTTCCCCACTTACTGCTTTGAAAAAGGTTCTTTCTTCACAGATCACAACTGAGCAGCTAATACTATGATTACAATATTCAAATGATCCTATAACAGTTTCTGGAGTGCAAGCAGATCAACTCTCCATCCATTTTTTAACAAGTCTATACCATCTTTGATGCATGAATGCGGTTGTAAATAAATTATAAACTAAATAAATTATAAGATTGCTTATCAGACAAAGCCAGTGTCTATTCTTTTCACTCTCTGTGACCTACTTTTCTATTTTATAAACTCACTGTACCATAGTTCCTTTCTCCCTCCTGCTTATTTACACTCTATTTGCATAGTAATTTTTTCCTCACACAGACTATTTTAAGATATGTCTGATTTTTCTGTTGAAATGCACATTTAGTATCTGAATTTTTATGACACCACCAAAGCATATTGAAAAAAACATGGCTATTTCAGAGGAACAATTTTACAGGTTTTAAGAAGTTTTTAGAACAACAGAGCAGTAAGGCCCATACATACTGGAAGAATCCATGCCAATATATCAAATTATGTAAGCCCGCTCAATAAGTACTTAATTACTCATTATTTAATTCTAAAAATGAAAAAAAAAAAAAAAAAGTCTTCAGTTTTAACTATGAATTCACAATATATTTCAAGTTAGAGAGAAGATTGCAAAATCATTGAGGCATCATAAAATTGAAAAAGAAGGCCAAGAGTACCAAAATCTAAAACTAACATAACCACTGTAGATTTGTCTCCTTTGGGCTTATTTGTCCTTTACAGCAAAGTAAGAGAAAAGTAAACCTTTGTGATGCAAAATGAAGGAGTGTAAAGGCTGAGATATTGCAGATCTAGAAAAATTTGCAAGGTAAATTACTTGAGGGAAATATAGTCCCTCAGTTACATCCACAGGCTACAGACACAAAATAACTGGCAAGTGGAACATAGAAGGAAAACACTGTGCAGTTTTGGGTGTTGTGACATAGGAAGTGCATAAAACTGGTTAAGAGCATCCGAAGAAGAGCTATGATAGCAGTGAAAAGCCTAGAAAAGAAACTCTACAAGAAGCAGCTGAGGTCATTTGACCTCATTGTAGTCTACAACTTTTGTATGAGAGGAAGAGGTAGACACCAATCTCTTCTCTGTGGCGATCAGTGATGGGACCGAAGGGAATGGCTTGAAGTCGTGTCAGAGAAGTTTAAGTTCTTTACCCTGAGGGTGGTTGGGCACTGGAACAGCTTCCCAAGGAAGTGCTCCCAGGACTAAGCTGACAGACCTCAAGAGTGCTCTGGACAACACTCTCAGGCACACAGTGTGACTCATGGGGTGTCCTGTGCAGGACCAGGGGTTGGACTCAGAATATCCTATAACTAACTCTATGATACTGCAGTTTTTTATGTAATTTTGAAAAAAACCCAATTATCTAAATTTAACATAATGGTTCAAGGAAATTATGGTTTGTGTTTCTTCACTTTTCTTCATTTTATAGGAAGATAGATACCTCCCTTTGCTAAACTCTTATGGAATAAGACAGCTCTTAAAAAAATGCTTTCCTCAGGATGTATTATGTATATTGAGTTGCATAGACTGTGCATCTGATAGCTTGTATCTGCATTTTAAGTAATGCTTTATGTTCTGATTCAAGTATTGAATTGACACCAAATCAATTTAGAGTCCTAACAAAGTGTTATTGTTCCAGTGATAAGTTACTTATATGCAATCATATCAATATTTCAGTATTATCCTAGGGTGACTTTATGATGCTTGTATCCCCAACTGTCTGTTCTATTTATGCTGGATATTAAGTACTGCACCTTTAAGACTGGTTCCGAGAGCAAAGTGGGGGGGAAAAAAGCGCACAGTTTGTTTGCAGAAACTGCACTCATTTGTCCACATTCCACCTCGTAGACTGTGTTGTCTGCAGCATGGACAGACAGTGGGAGAGAGCTCTCCTTTGCTGCTTAGTTAGGGGTTTTTTTAGTTAGCTGAGGCAGAGAAGTTCCCTGGACTGTGGCTTTTCTTTTTCTTGGAACTGACTAGCCTTGCTCTGGATGGAAAACCCAGAAGAGCATCAGGAGCTCACACCTGTGGTCCACCAGGGCCTGGGACGTGGCATTTTCCAGCAGGGATTGATAAGAGATTGAGTGTGCCAAGCTACACCCCACAAAAAGGACTTTCTGAATTTTCTATCTCTTCAGAACAGCCAGAGATTTTATTGTTTAATATTATTCATTTTATATGCTTGTGAATACTTTGCTTGTTAAATAAACAGGTTTTTTCCACTTTTCTCCAGGTTTTTTTCCACTTTTTTTTTTTTTTTTCCAAATCTTTTCCTGAACTGGGGGGGGATGGACCTCATTCAGCGATTTCCTCCCAAAATTTACCTAAACCAGGATAAATAAATAATATGAAGGTGTTATTTAGTGGCTATTCTTAATGGAGTAAAAAATAATAAAATTCTTCCAAAGCAATGGAAGACTTAAAAAGAAAAATCTCATTCAATGGGAAAAAACTTCCAATTTTTTTCTTTTGCAAACATTTGGGATTAAAATCAAAGATGGTTATACATACCCAGACCTAATAATTCACATCATTTTTATTTACCTTGACACTATAGAGTTTTCTTCCTTAATATTTTGCATAGCTCCAAAAAAGCAACCAGACATTTTATATATTTTAAGTTGTATGTTGTCATAAAATATATATTTTTTAGCTGCTACTTCTGCAGAGTGTTGACCTTGTTTTAAACATCTCCTATGTGTTGGAGAGTTTTTGTTATCTTATAGAAAAACAGCAAGTTCACAGGTTATTTCATGTGTTCCCATACAGCCTTCCTCAGATGCCATACGGGGAGGCACAATCAATGTCAATCCTATGTACCACTGCAGTACTGCCAAGCATCCCTACCAACAGCTCATTACAGGAGGAAGTGCTGCTGCTCTGTCAGGTAATGATGAGTTACACTAACAAGATGGAAAGCGACTACTGTCATTACTTTGTGCTTCATAGTCATAGTTCTTGAAAGCAAAGAAATATAGACAAGAGTCCACTGTACTGTGACTGAAACACTCTAGACTCTGCAGCACTGTTGAGCTTTTGTTTTGGGTTGCTTTTATTTTTAAAGTTGCTCCATGATTTAGGCACTTCACAGACAAGGTAACGTCTCACTGTAACAGTTCACAAAACAGAAGTTTCTATAATCAGAAAACTTTTAATCCAAAATAATTTGCATTCAACTGGATTTTATCAGAGTCAAAGTCCTATAATTAGGCTAGGCACTTCAAGGTGTGTACAAAATAGCCTATGAAAAATTTCCATGAAGCAGAGGAGAGCTATAATCCTCCCACCAACTGAAATAATCCTTGAAAAAATATCAAGGAGACCAAATTGACCAAGAGTCACTTAAATTCCTGTGATTTCCACATTTCTACGGATTTTTTCCAATTACTTCTAAGTATAATGTGCCTTAAAACAAAGAGGTGGGTACTTAATGTAGCAATGCTGTTAAAACACTAATTCTGGACCCATCCAAACATCATTTTCACTTGGAGTGAAAATGTAATTCTGTTCTTTCTGATTTATTACTAACCAGTTCTGGATGTAATCAAGATTGATCAAAGATTAAATTATTTCTTAATTGTTTCTTAAATTATTTCTTTTCTGTCAAAATTAATGTAAATATTCCTTTGACAGTCATGGAAATAAGGTCAGTTCAAGAGAAAGAGGTGTAATTCTATTTTTTTAACAGTGTTCCAACTTCTTATTATGGTTTTCATCTTCCAGCTTTACATAACTTTCTCATCTTCCATAACTGGTTTAACAAGTGAAATTAAACTTCATTGTTTTCATCAATTAACACTTCATTATGTTCATGGAAGAACTAAATATTTTAAAATTGCTTTAAGGTCTCAAAAAATCAGAAGTTATAAGAAGTGATGAACACTTTGCCATGTCACATGATAAAGAGAAATTTCATTTCTCCTTAGCAGGAGGTCTGTGTAATAAGGATAGTAGAACGAGATAATTACTTTATATTCTTATCAAGGAAAACCCTTGGAGGAGCAGATAAGGCTGACAAAAAGGAAGTAATGCAAAATGCAAGCAGGATACCAACTTAGCTCTGCAAGGCTGACAAGGCACAAATTATGCCCAACAATAATATTGCACTTATTCAAAAGAGGGGGTCAAGGAGCAGCCACCTAAAAAAAGACATTGGCTGTTGAAGACCACCAAAGAACCATATAAGGACTTCAAATAAAGGGTATGACTATGTAAAATAAGCTGGTATATATGCATAAAGTAAGCAGGCATAGCTAGTGAATATGTAATCAGTGTGTATGATAAAAGCTGCTTTCCTAACACTTGGCACACTTGATTACAGGAAGGACCCTCCAAGAGACCAGCATGCTGCAATAGTGAATAGCTGCTTTCTAATACTCAAAACTCTGTTAGTTTCCATCTGGCCAATTTTGGTAACAGTGACCTTCCGTTGTGGTACTATCCTTGCTGCACTGCTTATTTGGGTGATCATTTTAAAGGCTGTTTCCTCCTAGATATGTAAGTGATTATTGAATTTTAATAGACGGTTTAAGTTAAAACATACTGAAGCATCCTATTTTCTTAATCATTTTGTGATCCTTATGGTGTCTACACAAAGCCTCCATACTTATAAATTCTATATTATTTAGGTTCACAAATATTTGGGCAGTAGAAAGGTGAGCAAGACATAACCCACAATTTTTATAAGAATTGCGAAAAGCTTCTTAAATATGAGTAATCTTCCTGTAACTAAGTTATATTAACTAACAGAAATCCAGGGATTTCAACACAATAATGACATGCTGTTGCTCTTATTCCTCAGTTCTGGTACTTTTGTATCTTTTGTACTATAGATAATTTCTACTTCCATTTCTTGGAATGCTGGCTGAAATTAACCTACAACAATATGAAAGGTGACTAAATTTTTTTCGCATATAGTGAAAAGGTCTATGGATATATATTATGGCAGGAGTTTTGGTGAGGTTATTTTTGGGTTTTTTTTTTTTTTTTGCATTTTGCATTTTTTGCATTTTTTTTTTTTCATTTTTTTGCATAAAAATTTTTTGGTTTAAAATGATCTCTAGGTACTTCACCTGTGTTTATGCCAAAATTGTACTCATAATTGCTTTAAGGATCTCACCCAGGATCATTGTCATACCAGACAATGCAGCACACATCTTCTGCTTAACATCAGGATCATTCTTTGGTAGCCTACCATGTGTATGAGTAAATTATATATTGTAAGCTGGTTTGCCTCCTCCTTCTCCCTTTCAATTTTAATATAAAGCACTTCATTTGCTTTTATCATTGTCTTCCTTTTGCTTCTGTTTCTACATCCTGTCTTCTATTACTCTTTTTCAACATTAATGGACTAACACTAGAAATCTCATATGGATCTAAATAAATTGCCAGTATTGATCTGCATTGAAAAGTTCCTACATAATGTCACCTCAGTGACCACTGTATTCCCACAATAATAACCAGCTACATTTCCTGAGGAAACATTTTTATTCTTAGTGGCAGATAGAAGCTTTAAATACGATACTTTACAGACTGTGATACTCGACTGTGATGCATTTACAGAACACAGCTGGCTGCAAAACTTTTGAGCTGTACTCCAGTATTGAGATGCACAGCCACTACAGTCAACAAGTTTCTCCTTTACCACATCCAGTCTCAAAACTTCTATGTTAATAGCCTGGAAATGCCAAAGTTTTCTGGTAATCTTGCCAGTATTCTAACTTCAAACGACATTACACGTGCTTATTATCCACTTTTCCCTATAATATTGTAGCAATAAGAGAAGACTACTGAAAAATTAATCCTCCATGCTACTTAAATCTAATCATGGCAAGTATGCTTTATAACAGTTGCCAAGAGTTAGTAAGAGGGGATACATCTCATACTGGGTGAAGGACTAAGTGATCAGCAGTAAAGGAAAGGATGAAAGGAAATTAAAGACTCACAGTATAAAATCACTGCTGTTAATATTCCAGGGGTTCCAGTTGCTCAGCTGCAATTAAATAAAAAATACACACTGATGTAAAATGATTACTGCTATGCAAATGGATAGATAATTTGAGAATCAGAGCATTGAGACCTTTCAATTTATTTACAGGCATAATTACAGGCTGCAAAATGTCTCTGACTAAAGGAAGAGTACTTTTGGCTCATACCTAATAAATATTCTAAGACTGGTGGGCAGACTTAAAGTGCTCGAATATGCATGATAATCAAGAACATAGGATATCATCACAACAATCCTGAAGCACTTTCCCAAAAGAGTGAGCACAGCTCCAGGAAAGCTTTATCCATTACCAATAGCAATTAATTGAGTAATAAAATCTCACTTTCATAAACTCTGAGTTCTTCTCAAGTATCTTGGTTCAAGCCACTGCAGTGCAGCAACCTTCAATAGAGTCTGCTGAACTGGTGTAGTGAGTCCAGCCCTGTAGTCCCAAGTAATATCAATAAGATTTATAGTTACTACCCAGATACGGCCAAATTATTCACAGAAGTGTCCTCAGAAAGTTTCATTTTCTTCTCTCACATGACAATGAAATGTTTTTCATTTTCTTGTAAATATTTGTCACAATGTAAGTAACTTCTGACTCTTCCTTTCAGGGTGTATAAATGTGGAGACAACTGTGTGTTTAATGAATTCCTGCCAGTAAACCACGAATGTCTGATTTTCATACTGTGAGTGGTTATATCAAAGGCCACGAAAAATAAATGCTTAGAGTGTTGAAATAAGCTTTCTTAAATAATCATCATGATTACCGTGCCAGTTTGTTTTGCCTGACTCAAGGTACATCACCCTTAGAGCCAGAATTTAGATTGAAATACTAAATTATATGTGTACACTTAGTCTACAATATTTCAAAATTAAAAATAAGTCTATAATATTTCCTTTAAACAAAGACTATTATAAAATTTACACAACCCTTTAGTCAGCCTAAAATTAAGCAGAATTTATTTACTATGAACAGTCTTAAGAAGTCCTGTTTTTGTTCTAATTCTCTGCATAAGGTAAATTTTGGGGAATTCTGCTATTTGACTAACGTTTCTGATTTTAATGGCTTTCAGACTTAACCTCCTGTCCAGGTTTTGCATCATGGAAGTGATGCAAAGAGAAGCTGCTAGCAGCTTCTCTCTGTCTGACAAAAAAAAAAAAAAAAAAATTTAGTAATTAGGCTTTGAGAACTGGCAATCTGTTAAACCACTGAGAAAGGTGATACACCTCTGTGTATCCCCTGTAAAAAATGAAAAATTCTGGAAAACCTCTTTTTCTTTTCTGGTTGGCAAAGAGGTAACAAGGCCGGTCTGGGCCCTGTCTCTGCCGGTCCCCATCGGCTGCCATGGGCAGGACACTAAATGTGTCAGTGCTTCTGTCCTCCCTCGGAAAGGATATAGTGAGAACATACAGAGAAACAAGATAGAGAAACCGAGGTCAGTGAAGAAAGAGTCAAGTCCCAGATGAGAAGAATGAGGAGATGCCTTGATCTTGAGGCTGAAATCCTCCTGTAAAGCTATGGAGAAAGATGCAGTTGATACAGGAGACTCTCTTTTTCCCTATAACATGTTGAAAGTATGGGGAGATGACTTGTTCAAGTTGTATATATATCTAACAAAGGCCTCCATGCTAAAGTAAGCAAATAAAGTAACTGTGATCCAATAAGAAGTTTGACCTGAGAAAGAGAGAAGAATGATAAAGACGCTGTGCTTCCAAGGAGAGATGTTCCTAGAGATGAAGATGATTTCAGAGATAAATAAAGAGAATCTTTGTCCTTGAACAGCGCATCTTTAAAATAGTACTCCATAAGTTGACATGGCCCATAAATGCAGTTGTGAGAAAAGCTGTGAAAAATAGAGGGTTTCACGATTACAGATATTTCCAGGTGTCTGTTA